AGATGTCAATGGACATACGTACACAATTAGGGAAGAGTGGGGGATTTCAAAATCCAAATCCCAATTTGGAATCGTAATCCATGTGTAGGTAAAATTTGGAAAGAAAACACCGCCACAAAATTCCCTTCTCCCCCAATAAATATACGAATTCCTTCCTCAGTATCAACAATCGTAGACTGAAGAAAGTTGCCAATATTTCCCAGAAAGAAAATAAAAAAAAAAAAGAGAAGAGAAAAATAAAAGAAGGAGAAATGGGGAAGAGAAAGTCGTCGAGAGCAAAGAAACTGCTGCCCAAGAAGAAGATAGAGAAGGTTGCCAAGGTTTTCAGTTGTCCCTTCTGCGGCTGCCCCGACTCCATTGACATCTTCATCGAATGGTTCGATGCCTGTGTCACCGCCAATCAACCCATCTGAAGTTGGGAAAACCTTGTTTCGCGGACTTACTAGTTGGCCAACTCTCAACTTGACTGTACGTCTGTACCTTGACGACGTTTTTCTTTTATGACGTTTATGCGCGGCGCTTTCTTCAGCCATTTCGTGTACTTTCATTGTCATCCGGCAGGATAGTTGACACGAACCATGTATCTTCTGTCAACTTGATTGTTGGGTTAGTAATATGCTAGACAAAGCCGATCCAACATTTTCCAATGTTAAACAATTCACCCAAAGTTGGTCCATTTTTTGAGATTCTTCATGTCCTTCTCTTTTGCACTAATATTTTGTCAACACACTTCAAACATTTGCTACAGGCCAAATTGCCACTTCTTGAATATTTCTGTCTCATTAATCACAGTGAATTTCCATATAATTGTTGATCTTAGAAGAATTTATCCATCTTGTCAAAGTCACCTTGGGCTCCCATCTCAAAACCAATTGGTAATGAGTGGGGTGGCCTTTCGCACTTATAAACAGGTGACAGATCCTTCACGACACCGATGTGGGATTCTTTTTGTCCCAACACCCTCCCTCAAGCCCAATGGGTTATTTTGGCCCATTGGGGTTGCACAACACAACATAATTCACCAAGTATACTACTACGTCAGTCAACAAGCCCGTCCCTCAAGCCTAATGGGGTATTTTGGCCCATTGGGGTTGCACAACACAACATAATTCACCAAATATACTGCTAGGTCAGTCAACAAGTCCGTACACACGGGTACATACTCCGGATATACTGTCGGGTCAGTCCACAAGCCCGCACACACGGGTCCATAGTTATCATAGGTCCACAAATCGTGGGCTTTGATACCATGTCAAAATTACCTTGGGCTCCCATCTCAAAACCAATTGGTAATGAGTGGAGTGGCCTTTGGCACTTATAAACAGGTGACAGATCCTTCACGACATCGATGTGTGATTCTTTTTGTCCCAACACATCTATACCTCTTCATTAGTTCCAAAAGATTCCCCACTTTATATTATTTACGTGAAAAAAAAATTATAGTTTTATGATTTCTTTTCTTGTTGATTAAAATTATATTTTATCAATAAATCGTTAATTTTCGCAATAAATTAATTTATCGAATATAATAATAAATTTGTGAATTAATAAAATGTAGAGTTTTCTAACCTATTAATTTGTGGAAGATTTACTGCACCTAAATTTCCCCTATTCGTCCTTAGAAGTAAAATTTGAATTTTTTTTAAAAAAGGATCCTCCTGGTATACATGCAATGGTTTAACTAGGAAAAATCCAGACTATTCACGGGGGTCATGGGAAGAGGAAAAGAAACAAATTCTTGATTTGTGTGAATATATATACCACGATGGGAATCGAGAGTTACCCCAATGTAAAAGGGTAGAGTAGGTGATGAGACTCAACTTGCATATGTTTTAGCAAGCTTTATTCGCCTCTTTCTACTTGTGTTTTAATGTAATTTAGTAGGAATTATATATTTCTAATTAGATTTTATGACTTTTGGTGATTAAAGAACTGAATTGTAAATATAGATAAAAAGTGAGTAAATTGGTACAAATTAACAAAATTTTGGGCAGCAATCGAAAAGTTGAATTGGACTGTTCCTGCAATTTCAAAGAAGGGGAAGGAACCAACGGGAGCAGCCATGGACGAGAGAAGAAGGGCAAGCTTGGGAGGCTTAGAAGCTAAGGAAGCTTGAAACCAACCAAGCTTTAAGACTAAGGAAGATAAGGAAGCATGGAGGGGCTGCAAAATTGCTGATTTGGGCTACAAAAGAGGGAGTAGAAGGCTGCAATTTTCAGAGGTATGGATCTCCTCACTTTAATCTTAATCCAATGGACAAATAGGAGAAGAGCAGCAGTAGCACAGACATCTTTAGATCATAGAGAAGACCCGGATCAGATTTAGAGAGTGAGAGAGAGTTCCATAGATAGACAGTAGAGACAGAAGAAGAGGAACAGTAAGTTGCAGCTACGGGTGACTATTCGGGAAAGTGACTTTGTCACTTGCCAAAGTAGCTAGCCTCACAGCAGCAGTAGCTGCTTGCTCCCTTCCCCCCTTTTTTTTTCCTTTCTTTTCGTATTTTCTTGTTTGTAATCATGTCCTTGGCTAAGCTGATCCTTGTTATATCAGTTGTAGTCAAGGATATAAATAGCTAAACTATTTATGGGGTCTTAATCCATTGAGTATCTCTAGTTATTATTTTTGTTTGTGATTGGATGACATTTGTGTGCCTAATACAAGAGTTTTAATTAACATTTTGATTAGAATGATCAACTAGTCAATTTTGCATGCATGTGGGGGGAATTCTTGACGGGTAAACTTCACTTAGAATGTTTAATATTAGCCGGTGACGAGGGAATAACAACCAAAGTTTTTAAACAACAATGTAAGTTAGTTGTTTAGCACGAGGCAGTCAAAAGGGCTAGGAACTTAATAGCTTAATAGTATTCTGAAATTAACAATGGAAGTTAATTGGTTTGTTACTATTAGAACTACTATTTGGAATATCGTGAGTGATCTTACAGTGTATAAGTGCCTGATCGAACACAGTTTCATACCACAAAAATAGCAACCAAAATAAGAAGTTATTGAGGGAATAGGATAAGAACCCCACGACACTTAGCTAAGTCAGTTTCCCAATTTTGCAAGTCGTCTGTCTTTTCTTTCTCTTTATGACTTGAGTCAAATCATTTGGAGTTTATTAGAGTTTCACCCGTGCCTGTGAGATCGATCTTGCTTACTACTATCTGAAGATTTACGTGGGTCTTTTTTGGTGATCTCGACACTCATCAGTAGATATTCAATATATATATATATATATATATTTATATATACCACGACTGATGTGGTAGAAAAGAAATATAGACACATGGTGGTGCTTTAAGAACTAATGAAGAATTTGATTTGTGTAGAAGTGGGAAGTAAATGAAGAGAAAATGGGATGATTCATATAAAGAGAAGTCAATATACATGGATTATAGAAGGCATTCGGGAATTCTTGACCCAAGATTGGCTAAGTACAACTCAAGCATATATCTAGGGAGATTAATTTTATAGCGGATTTTCTAGTTTTATATGTTGTTACCTGTGAGATTGGGATGTATGTGTTAGATAGCCTGCCATTAGAAGTTTTCCTGTGGCTTAAATATGATGTTGTCAGAGTATCATATTTCCGTAATATCAGTAACATCTAGCCTGCCATTAGAAGTTTTCCTGTGTAACATCTAGGCTTTACGCCTCTTTTGAAAAAAGGAAAGAAAGAGTGAAGTCACTATCAGTAAAGTAACCGCCAGTGTTGAATTGTGGAGAAGAATGAGGAAGTTAATTCGGTGTCAGGTTTGAATCCATGCATTAAAAAACTACTTAAACAGTCATTATCATACGAATCAATTAGAATATTGGTGATCAATCAATATTTCCTTTCTGCACAAAAACTAGGTTTGATGTATTCTCTTAGAAATTAATTTAAAGCTAGTTTAGCTTTGTGGTTATGAAAAAAAATTGCCCGTGCAAAGAGATTTTTTTTTTAATCAATCCAAAGTAACTTTAAGGAATGTGATTCTAATTTGGTGGTAAAAAGTTCAATCTACTGTGTTTTAGAGATTTAGGGATATAGTTCCGTTCAAGGCGAGGCGAGAGGCTAAAATGTCCGTAAAAGAATTATTATCTGCTTCATTCTACCGAAAAAGAAATAACTATTCCATCATTTTATTCAGATCTTTTTCTTCTTACCTTAATACAGAAGGTGATACAATAAAATTAAATATGGTTCAACAAGCAAATATTGACAAGATTCAATAAAAATTTTCAGCAACACACATAAACTGTGACATAATGAAACCACGCCACCACTCTAAATAAAATATTTCACCTTTTAAGAGATGTAATTGATTTTTTACTATATCATGTCACTAAATTATCTGAGTCATTGTCCCTAAATCACAACTAAACTCATCTTTATGAAACGAATATAACAATATTTTTTTTTTTAGCATACAACAAATTTTATTAATAATAATACAAGAAAAAAAAAGGGCAGCGAATATACTAAACCCTATATCAAATACAAATTTGATTTTAAAGTAAAGTTAATCCTTGTTCAATCTAGCAGACCGGCGAACTTGGACTTTCTTTTTAGCCTTAGCTTTCTTCGATCGATTGTGGTATGTTGGAGCAGAAACCTTACTGTAAAAAGACTCTTGTTCCATTGCATATTCCATATCGAAATCATTATCAGAATCATTTGTGGCATTATTTAGTCCGCCTTCAGATTGTATGTCTTCAATCAAATAGTTTGGGTTAAATGTCTCAGAATTCTTCCATATTTTTGTATCATCTTTTGATAAGTACGATTTTGGGACCGTAAGTGGTAGTAAAACCTCTAGAATGGGTTGAGGAGAGACCGTAAATTCTAAAGCTTCAGGATTTAACCTTTGAATGGAGTTGTTACTGGAGTTGGACTTATTATTTTTGGAAAAGATACTTTCAGAACTTGAGCGAGAAATTTGCATTGAGGGAGAGTTTGACTTCGTTTTTTCCTCATTCGAAATTGGAACGTGCTAATTTGGGGCGATCATATTCTATGTCAAAATTTTCTGATTTGAAGGGGTCAAACTTTTATCCGCTGATGGCGCAATAGCTGCGGAGTTCGCTTGCATCTTATCCTCTTTTGAAACCAAGGGCGCCGGGTCAACTGCATCGTTCACGGGATTTTGTTGCGCAGAAGGTGGGCGTACAATCAGGGAGTTATCCACTGGCGTTCCACTCCGGATTTCCACGTCCAGCGATGTTGTTGTTCCACTTTTGCTAGCAGCGGCCATTGATGCTGAAGGAAGATGGTGATTCTCAACAGCAATTGGAGAATCTGGTTGATTGCAGAGCGTGTCTTCGAGTTCTATTCCAACAGCAGCTTCACCAGGCAGTGCATCTTCAAGAAACGGAGGGCTGTATGGTATATCAACTGGGATGCCAATCTTCTCCGCCATCGTTAATCCTGAGGTTGACCCTTCAAGGGTTTTTGCAGGCTGCAGATTTGTTTCCAGCGCACAAGATAAGGGTTCGTCCAAGGCTGTAGCAATAGGCGCGATTGCTGCTTCTGGTCGCAGCAACGCAACAATAGATGTAGCCACTTTAACAGCGGCAGTGATGACATGCCCAGATTGCAACACCGTTCGGTCTACAGTAGTAGATGGCTCTTCATCAATAGCAGTTGGTTTCAGCAGCAAATCCATCGCAGACTTGGCTGTGGGAGTCGGCAGTGATTGCTGCGAAACTTTTTGCATAGAGGAACGCTGTGCTAATAATTCTTTTTCTTGATTTGGCGTTGATGCAACTATTGGGGCTGAAACTGGCTGTTTAACTAGATCCGGTTGCGCTGAAAGATGCTTTGTGGGATGGCGAGAGTCCTTTTCTTGGGATGCCGCTGTGGTTGTGTTGTGTCGACAAGAAAGACGGTCATGTCCAATCTTCCTACAGTCTACACAATATTGAGGCATGTTTTCATAAAAAATTGATTGAAAATAGGAATTCCCTTCAACTCCAAGCCGAATTCGAATGAGATGTTCCTTGAGAAGATCTATCTCTATACAAATGCGAGCCACTGATGGTCGTGATATATTGAGGGTTGGGACGTCTATTTGAAGTGGTGTCCCGATGATGCTAGCTAGTTTCCACAAGTAATCCTTGTTAAAACTATGAATGGGAAGACCTTCTAAGGAAATCCTCACCGGAACAATAGAACTTTCATGAGATGGATTAAAGTCGGTAGTCCATTTGAGGACTCTCATCCGATGCGCATCAAAGGTCCATAAAGCTTTCAGCCAACAACGGTGAAAATCTTCTTCCAAGTCAAAGCAAATGAGAATATGCCGGAAATCAATCGAACCAATGGAAAAGCTCCTTTGAAGCCAATAGTTTGGAATTCTCTTCGTAGATATTCCATTTTTGGTCGGGCTTTGGTAAATTTACCAACTACAGCAAGTCAGAATGGGGTAGCTAATCGTTCATCTTCTTCTTTTGTAAGAAGAAAAGTTGGCTCTCCTTTGAAAAGTGTTAGTTCTGAGAGTATAACAATAGTTTTATATTATTTTAATTGAATAAAATAGATTATTTTTTATTGAAAAAAACTAGTATTAAACACTCGTGAAGCTAACCTGATGAATTCTGACTAATGTCAATAAAAATTTTAGGATATAGACAAAATTATTCTTTCACAGTGAACAAAATCACTATTTTTACCAAATGGGTAGATTTACCTCAGTGTACAAAGATCTAAATTGACCTCCATAAATTAAAGCTTATCCCAAAAGAGAAAAAAAAAAAAAAAAAGCGCTTGTCAGTCATGAATCATGATACTATTTGATGGTTCGTGGGTTTAGCTTCTTTAGTCCACAGCTATTAGAATTACCTATTTGTTCAGGGAAAAAAAAATTATTTTGTTAGATCCGACATCAATAACGTGCATGTGTATATATACACGTACATAACCATAAAACAATCAGTTACTTTCCATTTGCGTCCCACATTCTTTACACATGCCAAAAAAAATTCAGGGAATTAGAGAAATTAATCGGCTTATTAGCTACAAGTTTCTCCAAAAAGAATAAAAAAAAATGAATAATGTCCCAACTCTATATATTTTCCATTCCTCCTGAATTCAAGATTCTGAAAGTAGCATAAAGAAGAAGAATTACGGGAAGAGAAGGAAAGATATGGAAGAGGAGCTGAAAACCGCGACTAGGAATCACAAAGAAGGGAAGAAGTTGGTCATAAATGTAGGCGGCGTTGCTGCTGTTTCCGGGAGTTTCGGAGGCGTCGGTATGATATTTTTGGGTGGCGTAATGGCCACTACTGCTTTTGCTTTTCTATTCAGAAGGCGGCTCCGGCGGCGGGAGAAATTCTCCGGTGATGCTCAGAATAAGAATCGGAATCACGGGAATAATCTGCCGGATGTTTCTATGACGGTGGAGGTGCCGGCCGGCGGTAAGTTTGTGGCTGCAGGGAACTACAAGGGAGAAGAAGAAGAACATTTTTCCGATGACATGCAAAAGGATGAGAGGTTTGACTTTGACTTTCTCACTTGATCTCAATAAAGAAATCATTTGCTATCTTGTCATTCGTCCTCATAAGTATCACTCAATCGTTTATAAACATACGAATCTTTAAAGTGAAACTAAGTCATCGTAACTAACTGTATTCATTCAAAAATTCACTTGGTATTACTCGAGCTGACTTCTCATTTTAAGACCTAAGTTTAGATTGAGTAATCTTTATAGTAAAGATTACTATCATCATCACTAACTATACTATGTAATTAGCATGTTCTTTGTTTTACACAGTAGCACTTTTTCGGTTCAAAAAAATAGTTATTCTTTTCGAATGATTTTTAATTTAAGACCTCTTTTGAGACCAAAACATTAGTATGGTATGATGGCTGATTGAATTTTACAAGTACCATTTTATATATGAACATCTTAATTATTAAATATGAGTATTTCTTTTATGAAAATAAATTTAGCCAATGATCTCCAGGAATGGATCATTATCAAACAGTAGGGTTAATGAGAATTACGATGGTTTTTTGGCACAAGAGCTGAACATTTTCCAGGTAATGTCTCTGTTTCATCCCTCAACTAATGTCATTTGAAGTCCTATATGACTCCTAAGATTAAAATAGTATTAATTTCCTTGAAGTCGTGACTTTCGTGCTGTTAGATCAAAGTGTTCTTATCATTGTTTTATTTGGCAAGAGACAAATACGAATGCCAAGTAAGACTTTCTGGTTTGAATAGCAATTAAGAAATTAGTTTGAATGGGACTATTTTTTCCTTAAGAAAAAAGTTTATGTCAAAGAGAAAACTCAGAAAAGTTGGGGTGTTATAAGGACATATCACATAACAACTAATATAAATTCTATACATATATATATATATATATATATTTATTATGTATGTATATTTATATTTATATTCTAGGAGTTTGAACTGAAGATATCAAAATGGCTGGTCAGGTTTGACCTGCTTTTCACTTGAACTCGAAACTATTTATGCATCAGAAGTGTTGTTTGTTTGTTTTATTTAAAGCTTGGTAGAGTATGAATGGCAAAAATCATCCAATCGTTACGGATACCTAGCTAATGGACACCAGAAAAGATACATTAATATCTTTTGTATTATTTTTATATGCATTTTGATACTTATATATGCGTTTATTGCTTTGGTCATTCATTAATTTATTTAAATAGTCTTAAAATGCAAACCAGCAAAATTATTCCGGAAAATCTGATCTCTGAATAGGAAGAAATTCCCACCCATATCATAATTGGTGACTACATGAGCTAGATAATCTTTGTTTGGGGCTAAATTAATTAAATTGGAGTAACAGGTCAACCTACTGGTAAATGCATTTTCTCTGGAAACTTTCTACTCCGTCCGTCTTGCTTTAATCGTCCAACTTGATAAACAAAAACTATATATAAAAAACAAAAGCAATCGACAAAATAATAAAATAATAAATTTTCAGAAAACTCCTACTTAAATAGAGATCTCGTCAATATCATAAATTAATAATGATTTGAAATATATAAAAAGAACTATAAACAAGTAAAATATGAATCTAGTAATGTATATTTTTTCTTGCAATTTACATCTAAAAAAAGATTTCATCTTGATTTTTCATTACTTTCAAAGCTCTTATGTAGATTTCTGGTATTGCAACAAAAAATTTTGAAAAGTCATTGCTGTATTAAGTGCTCCTTTTCGTGTGAATGGGTTTGAAAAACTAATCCTCAGATTTTATTAATAATTGTTAATTTATTGCTAAATTAGTGATTATTAATTTATCGATGAATTAATACATGTATATATTAATATTTCTTTAGGATTCTGATAGTATTAATTTATAGAAGTTTTACTGTATTGTTGCTTGATTTCAAAAAATAAAAATAAATAAATAAGGTAAAAACATAAGGATGATCTCATATTCTCATTTACATCTTGCTGAACTAATAATATATATGTAACATGTTTTCTTTTTTTTTTTTCCTTTTTTTTTTTTTTGGTTTGAAATAAGCAAAATTACTTGTATCCAGGACCCAAAGAGCAGGAGTAGAAATGAGGATCCACTATGTACTGATGAGGAAGCCATAAACGTCAGTTCTCCTACGATATTATTAGTAGGCAATACCGTATTTGATGACGATGAATTGACATTGCCAATCTTTTCCGATGAGAAAATGGAAAACTATGACGGCAATGGCAGAGTTATATTTGATCAAGAAACAGAAAAGGGTTGCCGAGACATCTTCGTGGATCATCAGGGAGACAAAATGAATTCTGACATCAGGGAAGTAATAAATTGTCCCGAATCATCAGATGAAATGACAAAATCAATGTCCGCGTGTGAAGAATTAGAACCCAAAATTCATGCTGATCATGAGAGGAAAAACTTTGGAAATTCACTAGCTAGAATCAGCGATTTGGAGGAAGATTTCTTTCAACCGGTGGAAGGCAATGTATCAGTTTCCAATGATCGGAAAATGGTCAATCAAGAAGAGCATGAAAAAGGTTCTAAGGACCGCGACAAAGGTGGTACCAGGAATCAGAGAGTTGAAAATTATGATGAACATTTTGGAGTAGATGAAACTCATGAAAAAGATGCAGAAAACGAATTTAAAGGTATTCAGCAGCCTGTGGAGTTCACTCTAAACTTGAAAGAGAAATTACAAATGCCGATGACAAAACAGTTTGTCAAAATGCAGGCACTTATGACCCTCAACAAAGTTCACAATGTTGGGATTACGGAGAAAATACTACTTCGAAAAGGGAATTTGGGCGAAAACAGCTTCAAGCTGAGTCTGTTTGGGAGGTATATTTTGCAGCTTGTGGAGCTAACTCAAACAACTACAAACACACACAAACAGAGGATTCTGGTGTTCACAGTTCTTGTGCTATCCGGGTCGCTTCGCATCTGGTATTTCAGTAGGCCTTTCTTGAAGATCATTCTCATGCATTTCAGGAATTATCTGCTCATTAAGCTACATCTTCAGATCAGAAGTTTCTTCAGGAGTCATCTTAGGAATCATCTGAGGATAAAGATAATTCGAAAAATGCTTGGCATTTGAATGAGAAAGAGAGTGAGAACAACAATGTAAAAGTTGCATCGGAACAACCTTGAAAATGTTGTCTTTTGTGTACAGAAAATAGTATGTTAATTGGATAAATGGAGCTATATTAGTAGCAATAAAGCAGACTATATACACTTGTATTGATATATAGTTTGTCTTTCGGTTTTTGTCATGATTTTGATTTTGTATTAATTATATAGACATAAATCAAATCCCTGATTCTTGAGCTTATTCACTCAACTCATGGGTGCATGGATCAAACAAGAAAAGAATTTGTCTTGAGCTTGAATTTTAATCCTGTTACAATATCAGGACAAAGGTGAGGGTGACGTAGCAATTCATCAAGTGCAGGATCATGATCATCAGTATACGCCAGACAACACACGATTGGAAGCTTCCTCACAACAGTTTCTATAACGATCATCCTTGGATTGTGGTCCCAAAGCTTGGAGACTCTTTGATGCTGCCAACTGTAACCGACCTCAGAGAGAACGCTGGGAAGGCTGACTTATCCAGCTCATCAATCCTCATCAATCCGTAGTGTACGTACATCAACACCGTCAATTTATGTTGATCAACTTGTAAACAGACGAACTATAGCCATTAGATGTGTGTTAGTTATGTGACTGTAAATAATGATGATTAGTTGTAGAAAAGGATTAGCGAGTTGTATATATATAGAGATCACAGACAGGATGTATAGATCATATATACAGGAAGAACTTCCATAATTAGAACAGAAAGTTTTCCCTTCAAGATTTATCAAACCCTAGCATTAAATACAGCTCTTGATTCATATTCTTCTTAGATTCTGATTCTGATACTTATGATGATTCGCACTGATTTGTATGATGGTATCAGAGCAGGTTAGATCCTGCTCTGTAGATTCGCCGCCGTTTATCTTTGTTTGATTACAAGATTGATTACTTCTTCAAGATTCTAGATAGTGGAGTAAGTTTCTCTTCATTTTTTTTTCTCAAAAGATTTAAGGTGAATTCATTGTGAATTAGTGAAAGAAATGGAGGATCTACATGTTCGACATGAGAATCCGATGATCAGAGATGACAGGCGTGAAACTCAGACTCTGATTGATATTCAATTGCAAGTACATGGCTCGGAGAATCCAGGAACACCGCTTGTATCAGTATTCGCTCAATGATAGGAATTATTTGATGTGGAAAGGTGCATTGTTATCTGCTTTGGAATCAAAGATGAAGGATAGATTTGTGACAGGATCCTTATTGAAACCTGCTGCAAATTTGCCTCAGTTTATTCGATGGAAGCAAGCTAATAGTCTAGTTTGTTCGTGGATAAAGAGCTCTATGTCACCAGAATTGGCTAGTACATTTGCTTTTGTATATGATGCAAGAATCCTATGGACAGACATAGCAGAACAATATAGAACAACAAACTTGTCTCAGCTATTTGAGATCAAAATGGAAATAGCTTTGACAAGACAAGGAGATTCGACTGTGGCATCTTATTATGGGAAACTCAAACAACTTTGGGATCAGTATGCTCAGTTGAGGCCTGTACCTTTGGTTGATAATGAACTGGGACAATTGATGATTTCAAGAGAAGCAGAGGATAAAGGAATGCAATTTCTGATGGGATTAAATGATGTATATGAGAAGGAGAAAAATTGTATTCTGTTCATGGATCCATTGCCACCTGTTAATCACATATATAATATGATCTTGACAGCAGAGAAACAAAGGCAGGTGAGTGTAAGCATGATTGTATCTCCTGAGAATTCTATAATGATAGTGAGAACACCTGATTGGCAAACAGGTGGAGGAAATAAGCCTGTAGAGATCAAAAACACCAGTATTGGTTATCAGAAGAGGGATAAAAGAAACCTGTATTTTACACATTGTCACAAATACAGGCATACAAAAGAGGAGTGCTTCAAATTGCATGGAAAACCAGAATGGTGGGAAGACTATAAGAAGAAACTTCAGATGAAATCAGGAGCAGGAGCAGGGAGGTTTGGTTCAGCAAACCTGGTCACAGTAGATGATACACCATTGGAATTGTCTCAGGATCATCATGGAGAACAAGGAGATCTACAAATGGTCATTTCAAATGCTGTGCAAAGAGAAGTAGGGAGGATACTCAAGGGAAAGATGTCAACTGAAGGAACTGGAGGAGGAGTTGCTGTCAACTTTGCACACTTTGATGCTTTTGCAGGTAGCTCTTGCTTAACCAAACTTCATGATTTTCCTGTTGATTGTATTAGACCTAGTTCTTGGATATCTGATTGTGGAGCAACTAGGCATATGTGCACAGAGTTTCGAATCATGATTAATGCTAGAGTGGTAAACATGTTTACTCCTGTGTGGCTTCCAGATGGTAGTGTTAATTCAGTAACACATGTTGGTGATGTTATCCTTTCTGACACAGTTACCTTAACCTCTTGTTTGCATCTACCAAATTTTAAGTATAATCTCCTTTCTGTCAGACACTTAGCAAAAATCAATAACCTATATTTCAAATTCTTTGCTGATGTATGTCTGCTACAGGACCTTAGAAGCAACAAGGTTCTTGCAGCAGGGAGAGTCATCAAAGAATTGTACATTTTAGAGCCATACTCATTCACCACAGAAGCTATTCTACGGTCACAAAACCAGTTTGCTGCCTATATGATGCACATCAGGAATCATGTCACCACTAGAGTTTCAACACAACACACTCCACATGCTTTTTCAGCTGTTCCATTTGATGTAATGCATCTTAGGTTAGGTCATCCCTCAGAAACTGTCATGAAATAGCTTTCTTTTTGTAATAAAAGTGACTGCTTGACACGCAAATGTGAAGTATGTCCTTTAGCCAAGCAGACTAGACTTGTTTTTCCTAGAAGCAAGATTCAAAGTAACAAATGTTTTGATCTTTTGCATATGGATGTATGGGGACCCTATAAACAGCCAACTTTGGGTGGATTTCATTACTTTTTACTATAGTAGATGATTTCAGTTGATGTACTTGGATATTCCCGTTTAAACACAAATCAGAAGTGCCTAATCTAATAGAGCATTTCATTTCCTTGATTACAACTCAATTCCAAGCATCAGTCAAGATTATTAGGATAGACAATGGAACAGAGTTTCTAAACCAAACCTTAAGTACATACACTTCCAAACAAGGGATTATTCATCAAACCAGTTGTTCTTATACCCCACAGCAGAATGGTGTTGCTGAAGGAAGCATAGACACCTTCTGCAAGTAGGAAGAGCCTTGTTGATACAATCCAAATTGCCTAAATCTTTCTGGGGGGGATTCATTTTTGACTGCAACTCACCTTATCAATAGATTGCCTAGTGAGGTTCTTGGGTGGAAAACTCCTTATGAAAAACTATACAATCAGCCACCTGACTTGAATCATCTGAGAGCTTTTGGATGTCTTACTTTTGCAGTAAATACCAGTCCACAGAGAGATAAACTTGATCCTAGATTCTTGAAAGGCCTTTTCTTAGGTTATCCAAACCACCAAAAGGGGTATAAGATATATTGTCCATCTTTGCAAAAGACTATTGTGTCCAGGGATGTGGTGTTTTATGAAGATGTATTTCCCGGAATTCATATGAAACAAAATAAGCCAGTATCGCCTATTTCAAATATGCCTGATACTGATGATTCTTGGCCTTTTCCTGAATCATCAAATGATCCACTACCCACTATGGCCAGTACACAGGAACCTTCTGATGCATTTCATGATTCTAGTTTGATACATGACCATCAGTCAGAACCTTCTACTACTCCTCCACAAGATTCCTCTCACACAATCTCTTCTACTACTAGTACTTTCATTCATAGGAAAAGTGGTAGAATCAGACATCCACCATCATACCTTCAAGATTTTGACACTTCTACTTCAGCCAAGTCTACAACTTCACATCAACTACCTGTTCTCAACTCAGGCTGTGCATTTTCACATAATGTCTTTTTTGCAAATTTATCTAATATTCAAGAACCAGTTACATATAGTCATGCTAGGACTAATCACAGGTGGGTTGAGGCAATGAACAAAGAATTGGAGGCCTTGGAAGCAAATGGAAGATGGGAGCTGACTGCTTTGCCAACAGGAAAGAAGGCCATAGGTTCTAAATGGGTCTACAAGATTAAATGTAAACCTGATGGAACCATAGATAAATACAAGGCAAGATTGGTGGCAAAAGGGTATAATCAAGTGGAGGGTGAAGATTTCTTTGAAGTTTTTTCACCAGTAGCAAAATCAATGACAGTCAGAATGCTGCTTGCTAATGGAGTTTCTAGATCTTGGCCTTTTTATCAAATGGATGTGAATAATGCTTACTTACTTGGTTTTTTAGATGAGGATGTGTATATGATACCACCTCAAGGTTATACTAAAGCAGCTGCTGGAGAAGTTTGCAAACTCAGAAAGTCTCTCTATGGGTTGAAGCTGGCATCAAGACAATGGAATCAGGAGTTTACTTCACAATTGCACAAGTATGGTTCTATTCAGTCTTATAATGACAACTGTTTGTTCATTCTGAGTAAAGATGATTGTCTCCTGTTTTTGCTTGTTTATGTTGATGATATTTTGTTGACTGGGAATAACACTGAGGAAATGATGAGGGTGAAACAGATTCTTGATCAAACTTTCACCATCAAAGATTTGGGAGAAGCTAAGTACTTTCCGGGCATGGAATTCAATTATTCCAGAGACGGTTTATATATACAGCAACAGAAATATATTACAGATCTTCTGAGAGTAGCAAATATGTTGGACTGTATATCGGCTTCTACACCCTTTCCCAGGGATCTTACATTTGAATCTTTGGACAAAGAGAGAACTCCTCCACTTGCTGATCAGGAGAAATATAGGAGGCTCATAGCTAGGAAGGTTACTATATCTTAATTTCAGCAGGCCTCATTTGACCTACTCAGTGCAACAACTAAGCCAGTTTGTACATTCACCACATGAATCTCATTGGTGTGTTGCCTTACATGTTCTTAAATATCTCAGTGGCAGTATTTCCACAGGTCCCTACTATGCAAGGAATGCATCCTTTTCTCTGACAGCTTATAGTGATGCAGGCTATGGGAGCTGCAAATCTTCTAGGCACTCCATCACAGGCTTCTGTACTTTTTTAGGGAGTAAT